ATCGGGTTTGGCACAAAGCGCTTCTTTCGAAGCTCACTTCCTATGGGCTTCCCGAGAAATTGTGGAATTGGATCACCAGCTTCCTTGCAGATCGGAGCATCAAGGTCGTTGTAGACGGTGCATGCTCTGACTACAAGCCTATTAACGCTGGTGTTCCACAAGGCTGTGTGCTATCACCAACGCTGTTTCTTCTGCATATCAATGATATGTTGCTAACTGGTAACATTCATTGCTATGCGGATGACAGCACTGGTGATGCTCTATACACCGGCCGTGCCAATATTTCTCGGGAAAACGTCGCTGAGTACCGGAACAAACTTGTGTCTGAAGTCGAATCTTTGCTGAGCAAAGTCTCGAATAGGGGGCGACTAAATCTAGTCCAGTTTAATCCTCAGAAGACACAAGTTTGCACGTTTACCGCTAAAAAAAACCCCTTTGTCGTATGTCCTCAGTTTCAAGGCACTCCCCTTCTTGCCTCAGCCAGTATCGGTATCCTCGGAGTCGACATATCGAGTGACGTGCAGTTTCGTGGTCACTTGGAAGGGAAGGCCAAATTGGCCTCTAAAAAGCTTGGCGTGCTCAGCAGAGCGGGACAGTATTTCATGCCAGCACACCGCCTGCAACTTTACAAGGCGCAAGTTCGGCCTCACATGGAATACTGTTCCCATCTCTGGGCAGGGGCTCCCCAGTGTCAGCTCCTTCCACTTGACGCCTCCAACGCAGAGCTGCTCAATCGTCGACGACCGAGCCCTTTCCGATCGGCTCGATTCATTGGCACTGCGAAGAGATGTTGCATCCCTTTGCATTTTCTTTCGCATCTACCATGGGGAGTGCTCTGAGGAATTGTTCGGATTAATTCCAGCCGCCAAATTTCACGAACGCACATCGCGGCAGAACTCCCGATACCATCCATACCATCTGGATGATTGGCGGTCCACCACTGTGCGATTTAGAAGATGTTTTCTTCCTCGCATGACCTCCTTGTGGAATCGATTACCATCAGCGATTTTTCCGGACCGATACGACTTAGGGACCTTCAAGAAAAGAGCGTACTCCTTTTTGAAGGGCCGGAAACGCATCTGCGAATCCCCTGGTGTTGCAGTTGTTCATGGGCGGCGGTAGTCACTTCCCATCAGGTGAGCCGCATGCTCGTTTGCCCCCTCTCCTATAAAAAAAATGGTGTAATGTAGTAAAAAGAGCGGCATTTACCAGATAAATAATTTAGAACTCCTTTTTAAAAGGTAACTTCATAATAAAATTTCTCCCGTTAATAATTGGACATAGTTACGCAAAAACGATCCAATGTAATTTGTGTCAAAAATGTTCAGTTGAAAAATAATGTTTGTGGTCTATTATGTGATACAACAATTTTAGCGAAAGTAACACAAATAAGAAGAAAAATTACAAACACACACACAAACCATACAGATCCATTGTTCAAATTTCATAACCTCAAATTAGCTTTCGTCTTTAGGGTTGGATGCTTTTTGCATAACCACGTCCAATTGTTCTCAGACGGGAACAATTTTTAGTAGGCCATACAAATGCTTGTTCCATGCGGGGTTTGAACACTCAGCTCGCCCAATCAAACGCTTCGCTGCTGCGCTACCGAAACAACAATTAACAATCAACTTCAGAGTTTACAGATACGTTTATACCACGGACTGGATTAAACTGACTTTTTATCCATTAACCCGGAACACAACAGTGCACAGCTGCTTAACAGCAGAAATAAGTAAGGTAGATCTGAGTACGGGTGGTACCACCAGGCAGAAAGGAACCTTTCACTAACAACTCGGGTCTTGCGAGTGTTGCTAAAGTCATGACAGTAATCAAAATTCAAATTAGCAACAACCAGACGCCATATATTACTTCAAAAATGAGGATCGACGAACCAATCGTATTTAGCTTTCTCTAGTCATTTTTCATTTTGAATGTCCGTTTAGGATCTATAACGATTTTTGGTTGGTTTTCAAAACTTATGTATGTATAACTATAGTATTATTAGTAATTTTTTTACCCAGTCGCCTTTTTTTAAACAGTATTAACCTTCCTTGCCTTTCCACCATACTAGCACCGACTTCAGAAGCTATAATGTAGAAATTATTTTGTTCTTTTTAGTTCTCCGAAGCCGGCTTTTACTTTTGATTCAAAGGTTTATTTATTTTAACTTTTATAATGTTCATCATAAGGTTACAAAATAAATTAAAAAAAAAATGTGTCTTCGTTATTAAATCATATGTGTAAGCTTAACAGAATTTGAGAGAGAAGGTATTCTAAAAGTGAATAGATTGAAATGCCAGAAAAATTATATTAAAACCTTTGATTGGCGCACTCCTTTTTAAATGTTAGAGCTAAAATTGCAATATTTTCTGAGATGTTAGTGCCGTTCGCATAGCTTTTCCTGTAAGGCGCACCGCAGCACAAAATGCAAGGTATCTAATGTTTTCGTTCCTAAAGCACCAGTGGTTTAAGGAACTGAGATGGTGATAAAGCATTGTCAAATTACCACTCTACAACTAGAGTAAACAGTACATCTAGTATATCTGTAAAATTTGGTTATTGTTTTTATGTTTATGTTGTTCTGGGCCTCATGCTCTGATACTAATTATTACTCATTGCAATTTTATACATCTTAACTACTACTGAATCTAACTCTTCCATATTATATTATAAAGTAGAATTAGGATATAAGACCACAGTGTGAGTGGCCGCGTTAGAGAATATAGAGTATAAGCGCCGTTGAATACTGATGTTAAATACTCACATCGGCAACGGAAAGCAACGCAAAAGATGCTGGACATTTTTTTTTATTTCGCAGGAGTTTTACATAATATTATCATTTATCAATTACATAATATCTTAGTACTAAATATACTAACTTTTTCACTATATTCTAGATTGAAATATTATAATTAAGATGTTGTAATCGAGAATAGATGCAGCATATGGCTATGTGGCCAACTTAGGATTTTATCATCATATAATCGCCATATTTCTTTGTGATACAGCCACGCTGCTAGAAAAGGTCGGCTTGACCGGGGCAAGAATACGTTTTCACACAATACCAGCGTAAAATAGCAGCCTAATGCTGCTGTGTTGCATAATTGAGTGTAGAAAACCGGATAACCTTTTTTACCCATAATCAGGCATACTATCTTAGTCCTCGGGGCGATAACTTATCTACATTTTGATTTTTGATCGAGGATAGATGAAGTTGTCTATGGGCCACAGCATCTACTTACCATCAGGTAGACTGTGTGCTCGTTTGTCACAGATATACTATAAAAAAAACTAACAAAGCTTGGCAGGCGGATTGCTTATATGCCAGAGTATGAACTCACTTCTTGTTTTTCGTTCACTTCACGTCTCTGATTCGTAATTATAGCACTAACGGTTGTGAATTTACATAATCTAATGAAAGTCTTAGATTTAAATGTATAACTGAGTTATTATTAGTGTAAAAATTTATAAATAATAACTCAGTTATCAGCAACAAGAGCAACCCTGAATAAAAGACTTCCGTATTTTCCAAAATGGCCGCCACATACAAAGTAAAACGTCAGTGAGCAAAGACAAGCGGCTTACGGAATAGCGTTCTTGCGTGTACAGCGGTGCACCGCTCTCTTCTAGATTGTGACCGGTTCTCGAGCAGTTTACAATCGCCGGGTTATGGATGCGTTATGAAACTGTACCGAGAACGTCGTTCTCAGTAACAGTTGAAACACATATAAACCGTTCAAAAACTGTATGTTTAAGTAATACCATATATTTATTTCGGCTGAATGTAGAGAGAATAAAAGAGGAAATAATTAGTCGTCTTTGCACTAATATGTTTTCTTTAAAACATTTTTTACCTCTAGTAAGATTCCTCCGGTAACTATTTAGTAAGAATTGTCAACTTTGTACTGTATTATCTTTGTGTGAAATATGTTTATTATATAATTAAATAACACTTGGATTCGTACATATCCGCAGTAACCTGAGTAACCGATATAGTCCTACAATCGATGGGGAAAAAAGGTTCTCGAATGCCAGCCTCGTACGTACGTAGTGACGACATGGTAAGAGATGTCGATGCATGCAGGTGACTCAGATCCGTGATTTGGGACATTGTTTTAGTTTTTTTTTAAACGTTACCCCCCACACTAGGATTTTTTCCTGTGTCGTGGAGGCAGTTTACAAACATAAATTGCACAAGGACAAACATCCAAACCCGGAACAATTATTTATAGGCCATACAAATACTTGTTCCGTGCGGGATTCGAACCCGCGGCCCCCAGCGCAACAACTGATTGCTAAGTCTTTCATTCCTTGTGGGAGGCCTATATTCAACATTGGACTTGTGAAGTTAATGATGATGATAATATATTTTAATCATTTAGCATTCAGCTGATGGTAGGAATATTTTTCAGTGTACTACGTCTCTACGTATATACGTACTCTACGTACCCAGTCTAAGTAGGTACCATGTTCTTAATTATTTCTATCACCAAGCAGCGAAATCTTTTCCACCCAGTACCGTTTTCCATCAGATGAACCGTTTGTTTGTTTGTTTATCATTTTAATGTTATATAAAATAATTCGATATTTCAATACTGTTATTGTTATGTTATTTGGCGACTGACTCTGTAAAGGTTCTTGCTGTAAATTTTACAGTATGCAAGCAACCCGGATTCAATCACTGCCGGCACCAATAAAATTGTTAATTGTAATTTTAAGTTCTTATTTGCCACATGCTTTGCGGTGAAGGATGAAAATGTGAGGAAACCTGCGCGTTTGATGTGATGACTGCCAACACGCATTTCAGTAACGCGACTGACAAATTGCACCATAACACTCGGAAATGACGATTGTGAAGTACATAGGCTGAAACTAAATTTTTATGACATGTTTATATTCGTATTATAGATATTACTTACTTGCTTACTTGTTTTGTGTGTATAGTATGGCGTATAGTCTGGCTCTGATCCAATGTGATGACGTTTTCCTTATTGCAGGCCTTATCGCTGTGATATTTGCGGCGCGGCATTCCGCAGGCCGTACGCGAGAACTGTTCACACCCTCATCCACAGCGGCGAGAAGCCCCACAAGTGCGACATTTGCGGCACAGCCTTTAGGCAAGCAGATTTTTACTGTCTATATGCGTGTATTTTTAACTTTACTTACAAGTATAACTTTTACAACGATGGAGATTTTGTTAGGTTAATTTTAAGTTCAAATAGTTAACATTTTTTTTCATTCGTAACAAAACGCTACTTTGTAATAGTTTATTCAGTACCGTATAGTGGCGGTGTACGAACATCCACTACCCCATATCACGCCGTGGGTGTCGTAAGAGGCGACATAGGGAACACAATCAGGAGATGAGCAGCAGCGTCTTCCTAATAATTTGACGGCTCCGTGGCGCAGTGGCTTAACAATGAATTGCTGCGCTGGGGGCCGTGGGCTCGAATCCCGCACGGAACAAGTATTTGTATGGCCTACAAATAATTGTTCCGGGTCTGGATGTTTGTCCTTGTGCAATTTGTGTTTGTAAACTGCCTCCACGATACAGGAGAAAATCCTAGTGTGGAGGTAACGTTTTTTTTTAATGATTAATAATTAATTAGTTAATAATAACGACTAAAAATAGAAAACTAGGGTTGTCAACCCGCTTGCCAACCGTACCAACTATGGCAAATTTCCCTCTATGAGGAAATCTAGGGGGGAGGCCTATGTTTAGCAGTGGACTATAATTGGCTGTAGCGGTAATGGTAATGGTTCATTATTTACAGCTTATCAATCTGCACTGATAAAATGGGCCTCCTCATAACGGGCATATTTTTCTTAGGTGACACACTCGACAGGCGGGTTGGCAGCTACATTTGTTTATTTTGTAGTTGTTATTATGACGACACTGCTATCCATCTCCTTCTTTGTTTCGCTCTGTCGCCTTTTACGACACTCACGGGACGATATGGGGTACGAGATGTTCTAACGGGGACTTCGTAATTTTGAGTACCTAATAATCTTAAAATATTTTTTTAGATTAATTCGAAAATAAACTTAATGTCAGCTTTTGAAGTTATAAATATTGTGGTGTTTATGTAATGCCAGTAATTTCAATATGCCTATGACAGTGTGAAGTCAATTGCTGTATGTTGGTGTGGTTAAAACTCAAAAACGGCTCAACCGATTTTGATGATATTTTTGTGTAGATATGTTTGAATGGGTGCCACATTTAGCGCCGGTAAGTGGCGCTGTTGTTTTAAATATAAACAACACCGCATCAATAAATCCTACACAAGTGAAGCCGGAGCAGGTCGCTAGTATAAAATATGATTGCCCGCAAAATTGCACGGTGGTCAAGGGTGGTGAAGCTCACACTCTTCTTTTGTAAGTCCCTCTACACGTTTAGTTTGTAAAGGGATTACACTTCACGGGCCTCCAGAGCCCTCCAGATCCAGTGTAATAACGCGTTGCAGGTGCTGGTGGATCACTTTTACGCAACAATGAGAGTCAAATTACACCTACGTCATCTTAAGACTGCCCCTTTAGGATTCAGTGTTGTAGGCAAAATGTCCCCAGCAGTTAACAAGGTTTTTATACAGAATAGGGGTGACAAACGGGCACACAGTCCACTTGATCGTAAGTGGATGCTGTGCCCCATAAATAGCTATCCTTAGTTCAGAATCAAATTGCAGATTTTTTTATTGGATAGTGTGACAAACGAGCACACAGTCCACCTGATGGTAAGCGGTTGCTGTGGCCCATAGATATCTATATCTATCCTCGTTTGCGAATCAAAATGTAGATGCGTTGCCACTCGTGAGGACTACGATGGAATGCCTCTTTTCCAGTAGAAAGGGTCTCCGGTTCTCTACACTCACTATACGAAACACAGCAGCATTAAGTTGCCATTTTACGCTTGTATTTTGTTAGAGTTGAAGTTTGGTACATTTATGGCATTGCATTTGCTACTAGTGGCTAAGCGCTCCCTGTAAATTAAACAGCACGCGAGGAACCCGGATTCAATTCCCGCCGACACCAATGAAATTGTTAATTATAATTTTAAGTGCTGCTTTACTACGTGCTCGGCGGTGAAAGAAACCCTGCATGTCTGAGAAAAAATTGAAGACACGTGAAACTCGCCAACACGCATTGGAGCAGCACCGCGGACATTACCTTGCCCTAAAACCCTCTCAGAAATGAGAGGTCTGTGTCCATTAGTGGGACGTATATAGGCTGTAGCTTTCTTTAACTATTTGCTACTAACACTAAAGATACGTTTTTTCACTAATATTTACGGTTTTAATCCTCCTTGTATAAATAAATACATAACAATATCGTATCGGGACTCCGTGACGTACAGCGCCCGTCTCAATACCGCCTGCTCCGATGCTCTTGCATAGCGCCCGCATCGTCCGCTGGATTCTTTGCCTTTCCCCTTAACCCTCGGTTGTTTGAGTCTCCCCTGCACAGGGCATCTGTCTAGTTTAGTTTCATTTATTTGTTTAACCATTGCATTTTATATTTATTTTAAGTGTATACTTTATATATATATATATATATATATATATATATATATATATATATATATCCTTATTCCATCTCCCACTTTTAATATGTTACTATAGTATGAGTATTAACCATTCATTCCTTCCACTTTAGGAGATCGGGTGACATGTGGAAACACAAGAGAACTCTCCATGGACTTCCTACAGTCACTATGTGATAAAGCTAATTTCAATTTCTTGAAGAATGTCTCAAATCTACCTGCATTTTATAAAAAATACTCTTATTAAAATTTCTATTATATATTGTCCTTTTATGATGCATTGCCTAAAAGCCATTAATAATATATTTTTTATTCTATAAATAAAAATCAATTGCAGTCCGTTATTAACGTTAAAACTAAGAACTGGCTCGATCAATTCTGATGAAATTTTTACGTGTGTTTGAATGGGTCCCTGGTTGGCTTAGATTCACAATTGGAACCGGTAGGTGGAGCTGTTGTCGAGATCCAGAATATAACCGGATCGCTAGTAATGTATGTTTACCAATTAAAATCAATATGGATGTTACACATTTTTGCTTTAAATATAAAGACGAAATATTTATATGAAGATAAGATATTTGAAGCAATTCTATAATAACTCAAAATATTTTAAAGTCTTTTGTTTTTTATAATTTGTTACTAGCATAATGGTTGAAATTACAGTCGGAGTGTGCTGTTGGTTATATCGCCACATAAATTCGGCGATCTAACAGGTGGTTCATACTACTAAGTAAGGTGGGGTAGGAGGGAGAAATTTAAATGGAATGATCAAGAGGAAAATTCATTCGTAAAATGAAAGTCTTAGGTTCTTCAACAGTAAATATTTATTATAAAAATTGCTCTTATAGCCACATTTCTGTTTCTATAATATATATATAATATTTATGTTCATTCTTTGTGCCATTGTTTCACAAAATTATTCCTGTTCTTGTTATTTTCGACACAACATCTTAAACAATAATATATTACAATATAGTCTTGCATTAGACAATTAGAGAAACAATTTTGAATAAAATTCTAACATGAGGAACGTTTTAACAATTCGATGTGCAAACATTAAAGTTTATTCAAAATTGATTTCGCAATTTTCTAATGAGAGTATTTCCCTAGAATATACAAGAATATTTTAATAAAAATCCTGTCATTTTTGGTAACCAATGGCAATGAAAAAGAAACGCTAAAGGAATTAATTACACTTAGATAGTTTATATAAGTTACGTATGGTGACGCTCCGAGCACTTCTTTGAAGCACTCGGAAGATAGAGCTGAGGATGTGACAAGGATCCTACTGTGAACAATTATTGCTGTGGTCACAACTCTTGAGCGGCGCCGAACTCATCTCGCCCGCCAAACTCAATGCAAAACATATCACATGAAGTAACACAAGGAAATTAGGAGAAAAAAGTACCAAACTACTTTAATTTAGAGTCCACTACTCACATTCGTACACTATCTCACAAATTCAAGTACTGGTGTGCAAACAATTAAACTTCAAAATTGAGACTTATTCAGTGAGCACAGTCATTTCATTAAAAAGATAACTTTGTACAATTTGGCCCGATTTATGGAAATGACAGGACGAAAGGCCAAAACAAGTCAAATGAGGTTTTGAAAACCATTCATAGTTTGTACATAATTGCAAGCATTCTGAGGTTATATTTCTATCGCATCGGCACCGCAATGGGTAAAATTTTAAAATATTTAATTTATGAATAAAAAATTCTTACATCTGATTAAATAACTTTAAGTACATTAAAACGAGAACAACGTGTGTCGATGCGACAGATTTATAGCATAGTATCATCTAGAAATGATAGTAAAAATGTGCGATACATTTTAGAGGGATGTACGTAAAGTAGACCATTTTATTCATAATTCGCTAACTTACTTAAGTAAACCATCACAACCAACCATACGGACATGTTTAACAAAAAATTATACAGGTAGGTACGTACGCGAATGAAAAATTAAAACCAAAACAACTGAACATTTAAAATCCCAGTGTGTGAGTTTACAACTCGAATATTACAACTATTCGATATCAAGGAGTTTCGGCGTGAAAATTTTTGTGACTTATCCATAAAATGTATTTATTATATGTAACTTATAAATCTGTACTTGTTTCGAATGAATTGGACAGAATTATTGTTGTATATTACAACACACTTTGACAAACACGAGGTCGCCCCTAGTCGAGAGTGCTTCCTCGACACACCATATCGATATCGACACTAATAAAATTATTACTGTACATAATTTATTTACAACGGTCGCGATCACCGCGCCATAATGCCCAACTCCGTATATAATATGTACACTAAATTTAAGAACATAGAGTTTTCTCTCATTAGCTACCGAATCACAATTCAAATATTTGAGTAATTGACAACGGTGGACAAACATGCGCCGGAGCACTAATGCATATTACTTTGAAATTTGTACTTTGCTCTATCAAGTCATGCTAGGAATGTTTGGTCCATGCAGTCATATTATGTTCGTGGTAAAGGTTGAAAGGGCGAATCGACAAAGGCGTAGTGTGGTCTTTTAAGAGCGTTGTTAAAAATCAATTATATAATCGACTAGTTGTCAATCGCCCGCTTCGCTTGGCGTAAATTAAGCTTATTAAAAGTATCCAACATAGCGGCATAACCGAATATTATGCCTAATTTCATTAGAATCTGTCCAACTGTTTAAACTTTTAAGACAAACAACCAAACAAGAATACTTACGTATTTATTATAATATTAGTAGAAATAAATGAAAAATATAAAAACTTCCGCTAATTAAAAAACGATTTCGCACCGTTCGACTCTGACCACAACAGCCAATGTCGATTCGTGACATCCCATTTCACGCGGGCTGGACACAACCAAATGCTGCTAATGAGGACGTATCAGCCACTATAAAAATAAATACTTGAGCTGGATCTATAGCTACGCTTATATGTCATCATGAAGCAGTAAAGGGTTGTGCTATTTTAACAATTATTCTTTCAAATCTCTTTTGCATAAACTATACATTTTTTTAACTACGGTAGGTCTGAATGCTGCAGCCGTCGCATCGATTGCTTACTGACGATTTTGTTTTAAACCATACTAAATCAGTAAAGGAATATTTAACGTGAGATTTGCTTATATTTTATTGCGTAATAGGAACGACTGTAGTAGTAGACTTTATTTGGAACCGTTCAATACAAACAGTGTCAAACATAGTTTTAGTAGAAATATTCGTCAGAAGGCAACCGGCATGACGGGCTTTTTAATTTACAATTCCGATTTAGGACATACTTTAATAAAACCACAACAGCGGTCAGTGATGAGGTACAAAGTCCAATAATTTAAACGCACAAGCCAACTGTTGCTGCTTATGGCATCACTCCGTAAGGCGGTATAATTGACATCCAATTGCGGTGTTACAAATAGCTGTTGGATGCGGAACTAATGAAAGTTCACAGGTAAATTTAAGTACTCGCTTAGGGTTTATTAATTATAATTTGTTCGCATCTGTCCACAGCGTGAACATTAAAGCACAAGATAGTGCGAATTGTATTGAGCAACACCTTGCGCGTAATGTTCACGCATTAACAACTTTATCGGCACATGTCCATACATACAAATATGAAGTAAATCTGGATCGTGAGAGGTGAGACCTTTTAAGAGTGTATCAGAAAGTAATTAAGGCAAACAACAAGGAGCGCAGTAAATATAAATCTCAGAGGTATATCAATAGCACAAAAGGTCACACTTCCACGGGCAGGGAGACTTTTTAACATAACCCATCCGAAGTCACGTTCCTCGTCAAGAACGATGGAAAATATCAAGACAGAAATAATTTAAAATTATCACTTTTCCCTTTCAACATAATAAATATAGCATTTTTATCTAATTAATTACACAATAATTTCAACAAAAAAATTCTCAAACACCCGAGCTTCGATTCAAACGATAATAACTTCATCGGCGTCACTTAGTCTCAGTTCGGAATTCACTTAAAGAAATAAAACTATCAAAAATAACTCGGCTCGCGTTTAGGTCCTGCATCACGTCCGAAGCTAGCACCTTCCCTGATTAACATAATACTAACTAGCGAGTGCGCGTGGCGTCGCGCCGCTCCGACTAGATGCCGCGTCAGCTGGCGCCGCGGGCCGGCGGCGTATCACAGGAGCTCAGTGGGGCGCGGGCGCGGGCCCGCGCGCCGAGCACTAACTCGTGGGCACCAGCAGCCGCACGAAGCTGTCCTCGCCCCATCCCCAGTCGTCGGGCCACGCGTCCTCGGGCGGGTCGAGCGCCGACCGCGAGGACAGGCTCAGCACCGAGCCCCAGTCGATGGCGCGCTCCTCGTCGCCATAGCCCGAATCGCGGTCGGGCGGCGGCGGCGCGGGGAAGGGGGTGGCGCGGCCGGCGGCCGGGTCGCGTGAGCTCAGCAGCTCGCAGCGCGCTCCGCCCGCGCCCGTCGCCGCACACGCAGCCTCCAGCGGCGCCTCCTCCGCGTTCTCCCGCTCCATCTCGCGCTCGATGCTGCGCAGCGTGTTGCACACGAGCACGGATCGTCGCAACGAAGGGTCGGCGGTTTGACGGAACCGCGCCAGCTTCAACGCGCATAGGTTCATCATCTTGAGGCGTCGTTCGCGGTAGCAGCGCCGCGAGGCGCATCGGCCGGCGGCGCGGCCGTCGCAACAGGCGCGCGCCGCGGCGCCGCCCAGCTCGAGGTACGACTTTCCGTTCTCGGCGCGGATGGTGTCGTGCGCGCCGCACCAGCCGCCACACCAGCGGCGCCGGCACGCGCGCCGCTCCTCGTCCTCGGCGCGCCAGCAGTCGCCGCCGCCCGCGCCGGCGGCCACGGCCTCCAGCCGCGCGATGGAGTCCTCCCAGCGCGCGACCTTGCCTCCGACCTCGCACGGGGACCCGGCGCGCCGCTTGCCGCCGCACCCCCCGCCCGAGACCTGCAATCATCAAACGACACACATTAGATATATGCCGCTCCACAACTAAAACTGATCATTTGTGTCATTGTGCAAATCAGAGTTTTCGTTAGAACAAATGACTTTTTATACTAGGTACTAATTTGAATTCGTTTAAGAATAAAAAAATTAATGATCTCAAAAAAAAAAAGATTCTCGATCATCTCTCTCGGTAAAGAAATTTATGATTGAATTGTAGTGTATGCAATCTCAATGG